ATAGCCAACCCACCTTTGCGAAAAGCTGCTTTCTTTTTATCTCAAGTAAGCAGGTAACTTTTTCTATTCTTTTTGCCACACCATAGGATTGGAAAGGAGACAAAGTAGATCCGGAGGTTAGAGAGGCCACTTTGAGGAGTGTCAACCTGCCCTTAGATTAGTTGCTTTTCTTCCAACTAGACCACTCTTCCATTTTTTGTAATATGAGGTTCTGAAATCCCTTGTCACATATAGTTGCATGATGGAAGCCCAAGATATTTAATCAGAAAGCATGCAACCTTACAAACGAGGACCTGGACGAACACCTCCAGACCAACACTGTTCAGTTAACTTTAAGGTCGCAGATAGCTTGAAAACAAAAAAGAGCACAACAGATGTCAATTAGAGCTTTTATCAAGTTCATAGACAAAATCATATGATTTGCAAATGTAAGACGAGATATATGATCTACTGTTATGTTCTTGAGACCAGGATGTTGTCACCGGGCAGTTCACTAGATAATTTGCTTCTGGATCTTGCTTTTTTCCCTTGTTATGATTCCTTGAGCGATCTATTGTGAATTATTTTCAAACTCATCAAAGGAATTTTGACACCTTGGATCTCGTATAGAGAACTCCGATCTCTATATTGTAATTATAATTTTGCTTACCTCTTTATTAGTTTTAGAGCCCTTTAAATAGGAGTAGATGCTTAATTAGAAAAATTTTTTAATTTAGGTTTCTCATAAAAAAAAAATAAAGAAAATTCCTAATTAAGAAATAAGTCTCCAAAATAAAAATTAAATTTCTAAATAAAAGATAAATTTTTCTAACTAATAAGTTTCCAAAATAGAATAAAGTTAAACCATATCAGCTCCTTATTTTCCTTTTCTGTAATAAGAATAGCCCACAAAAGAGTTTATAATATCACCCTCCCCTTGAAAAGAAAACTTGTCCTCAAGCTCAAAGTCTGGATAAGCAGTCTGGAAATGTTCATGGGTGTCCCAAGTAGCATCACTTGCATCCGCTCTGTTCCAATACACTAGAAATTCCCAGGTATCTCTACTGAGTCGGGTGCGCAAAACTAAAGCTGGAGTGGGGGTAACACGACCATCTTCCACTGGAGGTAGCGAGGGAATTGAGGCTGGAGGTCTCTTTCTATAAGGTTTGAGAAGGGAAACATGGAAGATGTTATGAAGCTTGGACTAAGCTGGTAGTTGAAGCTTGTACGCAACAGTGCCGACACACTGTAGAATGGAAAATGGACTATAAAACTTTGGAAACAGCTTATGGTGGGGTGCCGATGAGATAGAGTGCTGGCGATATGGTTGCAGACAGAGCCACATAAGATCCTCTACCTCATAGGTTACATCCTGATGCCCCTTGTCATAGAATTCCTTCATACGTGTCTGTGCCTGTTGCAGTTTAGCTGGGATCTCGGTCAAGACTTGATCCTTGGTAAGTAAGGCGTCATCTACTGCATCAACTTGAGAGGACCTAGGTATGTATGAAAGGAGACGTGGCGGTTTGCGCCTGTACACCGCTTTGAAGGGTGTGCTCTGGAGTGCAGTATGAAATGATGTGCTATAGCCGTATTCAGCCCATGAAACCACTGAATCCAACTCTCAGGCTAGTCCCCCATGAAGTAATGAAGATACATTTCTATTTTACGATTCACCATCTCAGTTTGACCGTCTGTTTGTGGGTAATAAGCTGAAGAAAAAACAAGTTTTGTACCACTTAAATGGAAGAGTTCCTTATAAAAATTGCTTGTGAACACAATATCTCGATCATATGTAATAGTCTCTGAAATGCCATGAAGACGAACAATCTGTTTATAGAAAATTTGGGTAACTCTTGTTGCAGTGTACGGATGAGCTAGTGGAGTAAAGTGTGCATACTTTGAGAATCTGTCCACAACAACCAAAAGAACCGATTTTTACCAGACCTTTGCTAACCCGTCAATAAAGTCCATTGCAATATTTGCTCAAATTTGAGTGGGAAGGGGCAAAGGCAAAAGTAACCTAGCTAGACTCAGATTTTCGGATTTGTGATACTGACAAATCGGGCAAGAAGACACATAGTTGGCAATAGTGGACTTCATCCCTTCTCAATAAAAATCAACTTTGATGCGATGCAAAGTCTTTTGAGTCCCTTCATGTGCACTATCATGATAAATAGACAAAATAGAAGCAATTAATGGAGAGGTAGGCAACAAATAAATACATTATTTGTAGAGAATCAACCCTTCCTGAACAGCCCAAGTAGATTCCTTTTG